CAATTCTAGTGTTCCCAGATTTCCAAGGCGCATTGGCTCGATTGACCGGTCTGTTCTGCTTGAAACGCTTGCTCACCAAGGAATCCCCCGTAAGTTCGTGAACATATAAGCTCTTTGTATTCCCAGACTTCCGGACATGTGAGATTATGCGGCGAGCTCTTCAAAAGTTTCGTCACGTAAAGTGATGTCCGTCAGAGATGCCCACTCTCCCCATTCCTGTTTAACTTCGTGGTCGATGAAATCATGAGACGAACGCTGGGGGGTCTCCAAAAACCTGGTGTTTTAGTAGTGTATGACGGAAACCTTGTCGATCTGGAATATGTAGACGACATCGTTTTCATCTTTGGAGAGGAGAAGAAGGCGTAAGTGATGAACTGACCGAAGTCATCCCGTCCTTTGGTATGCATTTCGGACCCACAGAGTGCAGGCTCATGCTCCTGGACATGCAGTTACTGGACACGCCACTTACAATCCTTGTAGGTATTGGAAACTTGCTTCATTTGATCTATGAGACCGGTCCCTGGAAAACGCCGAGGATCCAAGTGATCAAGGTTGCGCAATGATCTTGACTAAACATGGACTGTACCATTGGGCCCTCGCCTTGCACGACGATTCTCGTGACTACCTGCTACAAACCATTCGGATTCTGGAACTGCAGTACAACCATGGATGTTTAACCTGTAACCTCCAACGGTCTTGGAGGTGTATGACTGCATTTCCTCTCATTTCCATCAAGCTCTTGATCTGGCCTGCCACACGTATTGTTTGGGAGTAGGATGAAGTCCTCAGTCAGCAATCTTCCGATTTATTTGTTTTGATTTTGGAAAATGAGACTGTCCCAAACAACTGGGGGGAATCAGTAATAGTGCCCGTTTTCAAAAATGAACCCGCATTTAATACGGTCATCACATCATCATCATCCATTATCATTATTGACTGTAAAAACCGCGTACTTTTTGTACAGTGGTTGCGGCTGCCACAATTGCGTTCAGTGATGATTTGGGGAGGTAGGGTAGGTAGCTTCACATTTGAGGTGGGAGGTGATAAATACGTACGTAAATACAGGTATGTCAGTGGATCTTTAATTAAGGGGATTGGGAATGGTGTCATGCATCGAAGGTAATAGCTTGGATGTACGAGCATCATTGAGGGCACGACTGAGCCATGTCTGACAATGTATCCAACGGCTGATATGACCCGTCTCGAAGTCCCCATCCACGGAGACGGCAATGACCAACGCAGCTGAGCTTGCTGATCACGGCTTTCACACTTCGCTGCCAAGTCATTTTTTGACTTCCCCTGACTCGTTTCCATCCTTTGTGAGGTCCCGCAAAAGAACTTTTCGAGCAAGTCTGTTGACTGCCACACGGAGCACGTGGCCAAGCCAGCACAGGCTATCCAGTGTACTAGTTCGGAAAGAACTAACTTACCCATTCTTTCCAAAAACCATTCGACGTGCTTCAGCTTTACTGACCCGGTGTTCCCACCAGACTCTGGGAATGCTCCGAAGAATTCCATAGTCAAACACTGGAAGTCTTTGGACGTCCTGGGCGCGCAGCTGTCACGTTTCTGTCTCATATAGCAATACGGATCGCAACACAGCATTGTAACCTCGACCCTTGACAGTTAAGCTGAGGTCACGCCTACGCCACAGATGAAGCAGGTTCACAAAATTGGTCTGGCCTTCCGGATTCCAATGGAAATATTATCTTTCGCTAGACCACCGGGACTGATACATTTGCCCAGGTAGGCAAACTTGTCTGCTATCTCAAGCGACCCATCCGCCAGCATGAAGCGAGCATCAGAAACATAAGCTTTACTCCAGATGTAATGAGACTCTTGTTGCTTTACCTTCGTTGCCTTATGAAAAAAATGCGCAGAGCAAAGTACCGTCCCATGCTGACATTGGTGCTGTCGATCCAGTGGCGAAACAATGGCACAACTCACCACATAACGACTGTTGAAAGCATACGCCTGCTATTTTATGGTTTGGCACACTGAAGACTATAGCGAGTGAAGGTCTTCGCTGACCTTGCCTCTGACCGTCAAGGTTGGAGAGCGGGGGTTCGTGGCACCCATTTGTGACACCAGACTGTTGCGCTGAAGCAAAGTAAGCGGCAAAACCTTGTCAATAATTGATTCTATAATACAACTTTCCTACCCATTTCCCTTATTTTGTGGACCCTTTTTTTACAGCAATCGATTTGACGAGTTTTCGGCCAAACGACTCTTCATTAACTCCTCCAAACTTCAGTCATGGCGGAGGATCCGGACGGGTCTACGGAAAAACTAGTCAACAAACCCAAAAGTAGTACTCTCTAGGCTTTTATATATAATCTGTTTAGATACTCGGTTTCATCAACAGCGCCTCAAGTCATGGCGACCTGTTCTCACAGCGAAAGGAGCATACCCTATGTTTTTGGCCATAGGACTCGCATTCATTCCTATCGGTATCATTCTACTGGTCACATCTAATAGGGTATGAAGTTTTAATTCACTGAGCTTGAGGTTCCACAGGTTTTTGAACGAGTATTCGAATATACTCATTGTGAACGATCTCCCGCTGCAATGGTTCCTAGTCGGTGTTCCGAAGAAGTTCGAGCACCGGCCTTTTATCAAAACTACCAATCATGTCCGTGTACCGTTTCTTTCACGTTGGATGAGGCAGTTCATGTAAGTTATTTTTCGCTTTTTTAAACCTCGATTTTTTTTCCGAGATCGATAACTGCGTGGATTTGATTTTGTATTGTTGGGAAATTATACCATTTTAGAGGATTCTTGGCCAACTGGCCTTATCTACTAACACACGCGCTCGCAATAGATTCCTCCCAGCTTCTTGAAGGACTCATTCTTCTTTTCGGATGTGGTGATTTGTGTAGGTTGCGAAGATACTTTGTTTTGATAGGTGGCTATGTAGATCGCTGGTCGCTATGCCGGAGCTTTGGAAAAGATGCTTCCCTATAACCTGTTCATCGCCAAGTCGGTGCCGGTTGAAATAAATACTCATAGTATGAGTGCTGTTGGTCCAATTCATTATCACGGTAATGCTAGGCGGCCTACGGTATTATCCAGACAGTTTCCGAGGCCTGGTCGATTGGTGTCTTATGTCTTTGATACTCTAGGTGTCCATTTCGGTATTTTATTATGCTCTTCGCTTGCACTATTTACAGGGGTCTATCGGTGTTAGGTAATCACCTTTGATTTTACGATACGTTCTGAAAGAACCACTATCAATGTTGTGTGTTTTGAAACTATAAATGGCAGTACAAAACCGGTGGTGTTAGATCACACCTAGCTTTACCTCACCCGTATCTGTGATGAACATTTGATTGATGTACTTTCCTTCACCATTGCTCTTACAGGGCCAGGTCTACTTTTTCTACGGACTTTCCAATTTCTTTCAAAATCATCGGCGATACATCATGTCGAAAGATGATGCCCAGCTCTTAGGAGGGACCGGTCCTCTGAGTGAGGCTTGTGAGCCATACCGGACCAACTCCAGGGGCGTGTCGTATGCTCCTTGTGGTGCAATAGCCAGCAGTTTGTTTAACGGTCAGTAGTTCTTGGATTGCTCCATCCTCATGTACATTTTCCCTAATATTTAATATTCCTCACTCTTGGAGCTCTATAATCCCCAGGGTTTTGTGGGGCTTTAGGATAAGTGTTTTAGTGTGTTGTGCATCCATATCTTACTGTCTGCAACGTTCAATGTCCTACGAGCATCCAGTTCTGGGGATGTTATTTTTCCGTAGTAAATAACTTATATATGCTGCGCAAAATGTGACTTTACCCTGTCAGAGGCTTGTATGGTTGAAAACCTCTGTTCCGTTCGTTCGGACTTACCTTATCGTCGGTGTTTGATGTCACTGTGTATTCGAGACTCTGTGTCTTTGCCTTTCAATTATCTGTTTTCCACTCGTCCTTTCCTCCCAGATACATTCACCCTGAAATACCACGGAGGTAGCGATTCCCCCTTGGCTCAGCCAGTTATTGTTCCTATGTCAAAGAAGGATATCGCTTGGAAGTCGGATGTGGAGAAGAAGTTTGGTCAACCACCAGCCAGTTACTGGGACCAGACCGTCAAGCCGGATAGTTGGCCCCTAACTGCTTTCCAAAGGTCACCAGAAGCATTTCGTGGTGATGAAGAACTGATTGTCTGGATGCGAATTGCTGCTCTTCAGACGTTTCGCGTTTCGCAAGTTGCATCGTCTTATAGAACACACTGGTCAATTTCAATCCGGACTTCCTGCCGGGAGTTACTCTGTTGATATTGGTTATTGTAAGTTCACAGCAGCCTCATACTTCGTTTAGTACAGTGGTCCTCGACAGGAGAAGCCCGTTGCAACGGGATGGAACCTTATCGCTGCTAGCTTATTTACGTACCTCATTACCCCACCAGTTAGGTTGTAACCGAAGGATTCTCGTGCAGCATCCACAGAGTTTCCTGCCAGGTCGGGTAGTGGTTGGAAGTCTGATTCAAAGTGTCCTGGTTCTCCAGGTTAAGGGTTGGAACAAGCGTTGCAATTCGTTTCTTACAATTTGAGTCACTCGAGTAGTCTTAAATCAACCACCAATACTTTGCGGTCAGGGTTTCGAGTTTAAGTCTTTGGTTAAGGATAGTAATGGTCCTCCTGTCTAGATTTCGGCACGTTGGGAATATCTGAGCCCCTATGCAACCATAAATTTTGCAGAGTGGAGTACTTTCATGTCAGATGGGCCTTCGCATGGTGATGTCTTCCGATTATCCGCTGCATACAGCAGGGTGAAAACGTGACTTCTAACACCTCCGATCTTCTTTCGTCCGTTCCCACTTGATGGACTCTAGATACGGACATTTCAGTAGGCACCTATGGAATTGACACACTGCACGCCGCCGCTCTCATTTACCGCTCCGCGTTCTCTACTTAGACTCTGTTCTTCTGTGTTTATTGCAACCTCCAATGTGAAAACCCTTAGATATATCGACCAACAACTTGCTCTTGTGTGTAGTCTAGATAAATTGTCGGTTGAAGTCTGTTGCATCTCTGAAAATGGAATACAGGATCCAAGTACAGTTGTTGAGCTTGCGACTCTCCCTCTAGCTGGACCACGAACTTCGAATGATTCTGAAGCTGTTTCAGTGCGTCACGCTGGTGTTGGTCGTGAGTTCTCGAGCCGAAGTTTCATTGTTCCACTGGATATCTCTAAACAACCGTCTCTGTGCTATCCAGACTTCTACTTCGGTAAAAACCTGCACCGACCGAAATACTGAAAAGTATGTTTGCCCTATCTATTTATGAAGCAACTAACTGTAGCTCCTATTCTTTGAAAGGCATTCTACCGAGAACTGATCCACCCTCTTGACCACCAGGAAGAGGTCGGATATAGTTAAAATAGCAGGAGATTTCAATGCGCAGGTTGGACACCTCAGTTCATCAGAAGCTTGCCTTGGTGATGTCTCAACGCGAAATGCAATGGTGATGGTGAACGCCTTTTGCAACTTTGTGCTGACTGCCAGCTGTTTCTCATCAGTATTGCGTTTAGACACAGTGGGCGCCGTCCTGTTTCCTGGTCTACCTACCGCTGTGCAGCCTCTAAGTGAAATCGCCCACATGGCCTTCAACTTATCTGGGCGCGGTTCACTCCTTGATTACCTATCGCCACAGGATACACAAGTCAACTCAGATCATGCACTCGCTCGGTGCAGGTTTTTATTAAAATTTTCCGGTAACTCACTAAAAACGACTGTGCCAACTCTGCTCAACGACCGTCCCTAGTGGACACTGCAATACTTTTGATCTTTCCTCTTTTGACCTGACTAATCCTCTGTCCTGTCCTATACCTCCTATCAGTTACATCCATATTCGGCGTTTTTTTTACCGTGGGCCGATGTTTCCTCACGTCAAATGCGGTTATTGTTCACTAGAATTCATGGCATTGGACAAAAAGTGCTCTCACTGCACCCGTGCATGCAGTCGCTTTCTAGTGACAAAACTTTATTATTTCAAGTATTCAGAAGTTGAAAATTTTGAAAATTTCCGTCGTCAACTAGTGACCGTTGCGCTGTTCTCAGGGTGTCGCAAAAATGTGACAAACAAGCGAATTCGATCTCATTGCTTCTAACCCGATTCTCAAGGTGTGATCCCTAATGTTTAGGTTCTGTGAAGGTTTTGAGTGTTATTTATGAGCGGTACCTTTCAGAGGCGTATTGCTGAAGTGGTTAGTGATGTAGAGCTACAATTTGTGTCGAAATTTTAAGGGCGGATGTTCTATCTGAATTCGGATCACGAATTTATCAGGCCATCCTATAATGTGGATTATGTTGGACGTTTCGATGGTGATTGCAGCTTAATTCTCATAAGCTGTCCTTTTCCATAAAGCAGTGACGGATAAGAAGCGAGGACCGGCGTTCAACGTCGTGAAATTATCCTTTGAATAAAAGCCCACTTCGTTTGAGAACGTCATCACCTGCGAACCAGACTGGGCTAAGTTCATGTTTGTTCTGCGTCGAAACCTCAGCGCATAATTGGAGAACGATGTTCCGGATGGTTTGGTAATTCGTTACATGGTTCACAGACACCTCATCGCCACGCCCCTCAGTCTTAACCTAGGTGCATCCTTTCAGATTATCATCAGCGCTGTGAATTCAATCAAAGGCACCGTTTTACTAGTTCGGCTACCTGATCAACTCTGTAAAGGAAACGGTGAATTACGCTTCAGTCTTCTGATGCTGCTTACTAAAGTTCCTTAGGCCTCCAAGCGCACCAGTATCCCTTACGTTTTAGAACTTTTCGACAGGATTTCACTATTCTTGGAGGAACATGTTTTCTGACGAGTTACGATGAATAAAAACATTCCACCTTTTAGGCCCTTACCAATAGCTCGGAATAATTGACTTGCAACTATGTGCCAAACTAGTAACTCATCAATGGCAAACAGATCATCATCACCTTTATTGACGGAATTGACCTTTCACAACAAAACATTGGGAAGGGATTCTACAAGTTCGAGCCACTGGCCTTCCGATCATTATGTCTGCGCCTTCACCACTGTCTCGTGCTCCTGTTATGGCCACAGGTACGCACTATTGATGAGCTGTGATAAAAGTATAGTTCGAACCCAGTAGTTTCCGTTTAGACGAACCAAAATTATCATATTAGGACAAGAAGAGAACTATGGATACGAAATCACTGGTCATCTGGCCCAATAGTTTCGTAGGAAGTTTTCAGTGAATTGTGCTTCAGAGAGATTGGTTTCCAAAAAAACGGCCGATCTCAGTGTGCATATCAGCAGTTGACGGCTTGTACATTTTTTGGAATGATGTGTGCAGAATTATTTTACGCCCTTTGGCAGTGTTCTTCATTCCCTCACCCGTACCCTCTAACCTATGGAATGTAAATGTATTTCTGAGATCAGAAGCATAATAACGACACAGTGAAGAGCATCTTCCGAACGAGTGATCACACGATTGGCCGCATAATTATTTCGTGGAGAGTAAACCAGCTGAAAGATTCTAGATAAATGCGTCAACAATCAGCTTGCTGTGGCACCGATCGTTTCTGGCACTCAATACACAAAGCGCTCACTGGTGGTATGGAGTACACAATGGAAACAACATGTGGTGTGTTTGTCACGTGACCTATAAACTTTCGTCCTTTCTGAGTGTGTTCGGTAAGATATGCATGTGCACACTTGAAACAGTTACATGCTGCTCTTGCGAAGTTTACAATTTGACAACATTCTACAGCCATGTACTTCATCGTTACTGCCAAAAAACGCTTTTCTTATTCATCTTGAGGGTATAGCAGCATTCATGGCAATCAGAACACCCATTCGTACGGAGACTATGCCTTCCCTTCATTGGTTTTCGATCCGATGGCCGTTCATCTGGTCGCCGAGCCTGGCGATTGAATTGCAAATTTTTCGTCACTACATGAGGAGACATCATCAGTGTGCAGTTGGGTGCGCACTGCATCCTCGTACTGACATGTCTAAACCTTAATAGAAGCATCTGTGTTCTCCTGTTTTCCTACTTCGCGGACAAACCGGTTCGCCTACCCGCTAAAGTGTGTCTACTTATCCTTGTTCTGTTATTTGGTCTCCTGGACTTATAACGCAGGGAACTTGCCTACCACCGCTATAAGATTCTTATTTTGTCGTCATTCAGGGGAACTGCTGAGTAAACAGTAGTTTATCTTTAGTATAAGATCACTGACTATGTTTCTGGAAAACTGGTTGATATGATCGGTTAACTTGACTGTCAGTGTGGGAATGAAACTCGTTTACTGGGATCATAAGGGAGATAATTCTGTTGATTCCATACAAAGTCGTTCATTCGTAAACGTCAATCATTTAGACATTCGTCTGGTCCCTTGCCTCAATTTTTGATTTCTGAAAACAGCGCCTCATTAAGTTCCTGGATGGGGTTAGTTGCTCATTGGAATTACCATTGATCACTAGACAAGCACTTTAACCGGTATGCACGTGATTCCATTCCCTAAGGATTAAGTCTAAGTAGGAGCCCTGTTCGCCTTCGAAACAAGCATTCATGCTACAGTCTATGATATATATAT